AAGAAACAGAGTGGTGGATCAGTGGAATAGGTTAGGTACACAAGACACAGTAGTCAATGACTATAGTAATCTACTGTTTGATAAACCCAAAGACTCCAGCTTCTGGGATAAAAGAACTCAGTATTTGACAAAAACTCCTGGGAAAACTGGAAAAGAATATGGCAGAAATTAGGCATAGACCAAAATCTTACACCGTGTAACAAAATAAAGTCAAAATGAGTTCATGATTTAGATATAAAGGTTGATGCTATAACCAAACTGGGAGAGGAAGGAATAGTTTACCTGTCAGATTTATGGAGAACAGAAGAATTCATGACCAAACAGGAGACAGAGATGAAATACAAAATGGATAATTTTGATTACATTAAATTAAAAAGCTTTTGCACAAACAAAGCCAATGCAATCAAGATTAGAAGGGAAGCAGAAAACTGGGAAAGAATTATTACAACCACTGTCTCTGATAAGGGCCTCATTTCTAAAATACACAAAGAACTAAGTCAAATTTATAAGAATACAAGTCATTCCCCAATGGACAAATGGTCAAAGGATATGAACAGGCAGTTTTCAAGTGAAGAAATTAAAGCTTTCTATAGTCATATGAAAAAATGCTCTAAATCACTATTACAGAAATGCAAATCAAAATGACTCTGACATACCACATTACACCTATCAGACTGGGTAACACGACAAAACAGGAAAATGATATATGTTGGAGAAGATGTGGAAAAACTGGAACACTAATGCATTGCTGGTGGAGTTGTAAACTGATCCAACCATTTTGGAGAGCTATTTGGAACTATGCCCAAAGGGCTATAAAAATGTACATACCCTTTGACCCAGCAATACCACTTCTAGGGCTATATTCCAAAGAGATGATAAAAATGGGAAAAGGACCCATATGTACAAAAATATTTATAGCAGCTCTTTCTGTGGTGGCAAAGAACTAGAAATTGAGGGGATGCTCATCAACTGGAGAATGGCTGAACAAGTTATGGTATATGAATGTAATGGAATACTACTGTACTATAAGAAATGATGAGCAGGAAGACTTCAGAAAAACCTGGAAAGACTTGCATGGATTGATGCTGAGTGAAGTGAGCAGAACCAGGAGAATGTTGTACACAGTAACAGCCACACTGTGTGAAAACTAACTCTGATAGACTTAGCCCTTCTCAGCAATGCAAGGATCTAATACATCTCCAAAGGTCTCATGATGGAAAATGCTATCCACATCCAGAGAAAGAACTCCGGAGTCTGAATGCATATCAAAGCGTGCTATTTGCTCTTTTTTTTTTCTTCTGTTTTGTTTTGTTTCCTCTTTCTGGTGGTTCCTCCTATTGGTTCTAATTCTTCCTTACAACATGACTAATGTGAAAATATGTTTAATAGGAATGTATATGTATAGCCTGTATCAGATTGTGTGCCATCTTGGTGAGGGAGGGAAGGAGGGGGAGAAAAATTTAAAACTCAAAAGCTTATGGAAGTGAATGCTGATAACTCAAAATAAATTAATAAAAATTAATTAATTAAAAAAATAAATGATAAATATGAGGAATCCACAGAAGCATGGGAAGACTTACATGAACTGATTCTGAATAAAGTAAGCAGAATGAGGAAAACAATATACACAATGACCTAAATAATGTAAACAGAAAGTACAAAAAAACCCCAAAATTTTGTATCATCATAATGACCCAGGCTGGCTCCAAAGAGAAGATGAGAAAAGCTACCAACTTCCCTTCATTGAAAAGATAGGGGACTATGGGCATGTAATATTGCATATACCATCAGACTTGGTCAACGTGCTGGTCAATTTTTCTGAAGTACTTTTTGCCCTCTCTTTGGAAAAAGAAAGAGTCAAACTAGATTTTTTTTTCAAATTCTTTGTTTCAAGGAATGACTCATTGGTTAGGGAAGGAATGAAAGAAATATTTAGTGATGAAGGTTCATGTAAAAGAAAGAGATACCAATGAAATAAATCAATGAAAATGTTTCAAAAGAAAAAAACATAACTAATGTGAAAATATGTTTAATAGGAATGCATATGTAGAGCTTATATCAGATTGCATACCATCTTGGGGAGGAGGCAGAGGGGAAGGAGGAGAAAATTTAAAACTCAAAAGCTCATGGAAGTGAATGCTGAAAACTAAAAATAAATTAATTAAAAATAATAGTAAAGTACTCAGTGAGGCAAAAGCTATCAGAAATATAACCCAGGTTTTTCAACTTTTGGTCTAGGAACCTAGACATTTTAATAAGGAGCTGCAGTATTTTTCCTGAAAAGAGGCTTATCTTGAACAACAAACTGAATGGAAAGCTAATTCTAATACAGACCACAAGCTACTCTATGACTAGATATACATTCTACTGAGTTAGTGGTATCACTTTTAGGGTTCTGATATGAGTCTGACAGGTAGCTTAATGGGCAAGTAAGTGGTGCAGTAGATAGAGCTCTGGGCCTGGAGTCAGCAAGACCTGGGTTCAACAATCCAGCCTCAGACAGTTATTAGCTGTGTGACCCTGGCCATATCATTTCACCCTATTTGCTTCAGTTTTCTCATCTATAAAATGAGCTGGAGAAGGAAATGGCAAGCCACTCCAATACCTTTGCCAAGAAAACCCCATATGGCATCCTGAAGAGTTGGATACAACTGAAACGATTAAATAAGTAGCTCAGTGGTAACCCTTTTACCTATTTTTAATAAAAGAGAACGCCTTGTGATCTACAAGGAAACTTGGTGTTTGAAGCACAACTTTCATACCTAGGCTCTGCAACGGTTATGAAACATTATCAACAAAGAGGATGAAGGAGTCTTGATCTTGGCTACTGTAACATCACACAAAAAACTAAAGAGGGTAACAACCGCCACAAAGTCTCTGATACAAATCCTGGCACAGAGAGCTATGATAACCTGCAACAGAAGGTTCCATGGCTAAACTTCCCATTTTATGCACTTACCACATTCAGATTTCTATTATAATTACAATTACAATTTCTATTACAAGTCAGCTTCCTTGATTACTCTCTCCTCATATTTTTCATAGAACTCAATATAGACCTCTCCTTTCTACTTATTATGTACTATATATTACTAACTACTAGACTCTACACTTTTTAAAGATAGGGACTATGCCATTCTTTTCATCTTTTTTATCTCTATAGCCTGGCATAGCACCCTGAGCATAGGAAGCACTGAATCTCACAGGAGGACATGATCAAGAGTCATAGAAGGAAACTCTATATCAATCAGATGACAGATGCATTCAAATAGCCAAAAGATCCATGATCTCATGAGAAGGGAACTTCCACCTTCAGTAAAGATGTCTAGATCAGGTGCTCTACTCAGAAAGACCTGGGTTCAAATCCCACCTTAGACTCTTACTAGCTGTGTGTTCCTGCATAGATCGTTTCACCTCTCTGTGCCTCAGATTCCTAATCTGTAAAACGAAAGGACTGGACTTTAGATAGGCTCTAAGGTCCCTTCAAGCTCTTAATTTATGATCCTGTGATCTCAAATCCCTCCTCTCTTTCCAGCACAGTATGATGGATGGTGGTTTTTGAGTTGCAATAACTGAAAAAATTCATTACCTGATATCCAAACCTTTACCAACTATACTAGTGAAGATGGTACTCTGATAACAGTCTTATTGAAGTCTAACACAGTTCATAGGTCTTGAGCTAAAAGGTACCTCAGAGGCTATCTAGTCAAAGCAAATCAAATTCCCTCCTTTCACAGATGAGGAAACTGAGTCCCCGGATGGATAAGTAACTTAAGGTTAAACAGTAATCATCAGCTACCAGACTTGAATATAGGTCCTCTGCTTCCAGAGATGGGGCACTTTATACAATATCAGTGAAACACAAGTCCTTTCCAGTTTGGTGGCCTCTTTCAATTCTATAGGTGTCTTGCATGGACATTCTATAGAGGAATTATGGTAACATATGGACAAGGATGAGGAACAGTGGAGGGGTTGCCTTCTGCATTACCCACACTGATGGAGTCAAAGATCCATCAAAATACTACGACTCTTGGAGCCTAGTACCTGAATAAATGTCTTCTTTTTCCAACTAGGTCTTTTAAAAAAATCTTCCTTAGTATTTAGAACAATGGCCTACACTTACCATGCACCTGTGTTTGCTGAACAGACTCCCCCTAGTGAAATCTCCCCTAACGAACGCAACCTTGAACATAATAAATGTTGGATTAAATCTTTTTGCACTTTACACCTGTTGAAATTAATCTTTTTCTGCCCTTCTCCACTGCACAGAACACTGCCTTGCACAAAACAAGCACTTAATAAAAGTTTGCTAAACTAATGAATGAATTTGTCAATGACAGACAGACGCTCTAGCTCGGTCTCCAAGTCTACAGAAAAGACGGCAGTCAACTTCAACGGTGACAGCCAGATCGCCTGCCTCGGCCTGGCCAGATCCGTGGGAGGCTGCGGGGTGGGGGCGGTCCCAGGAGAGGTCCACGCCCCCGCGCGGGAGGGGCAGCCCCAGCCTGCGGGAGTTCGGGGACTGCAGCACCAGCGGGTGGGAGGGAAGGGGAAGAGGGATCTGGCGAGCGCGCTCACGCAGGAGGGGGAGAAGGGGCTGCTCGCATCTAGGCCTCCTCACTCCCCTCCCTCCCAGTGCCCCTCCGCGCGCGGGGGGCCTCATGCCCGGGACGGAGGCCGGTTTGAAAGTAACCGTCTCATCGCCCGCCACCCCGACCCCACCGCCGCTGCTCCAAGCGCCGGTTCCTCCACTCCCTCTATATCTCGGCCTCTCTCTGCCTCCCGCCCTCCATTCACCACCGCTCCCTCTTTCCACGATCCCCCTCCATCCACCACGAAGAATTCCCGGCCCGTACCTCACACAGAGCCCGCCGGCGGCAGCCGCCATCTTCGTGTCCCCCCCACGTGACCGCGCGGGTGACCCGCGCCTTAGGCCGCCCGCCTCACGTGACCACGTAGGGGTGTGACCGAAGAGTGGAATGGTTGGTTAGTAGCCGCCTGTGTCCCTCGTTTGGCGCTGCGTCTGTCACGTGACCTTCAGGGCTCAAGATGGCGGCTTCCACGGAGGTGAAAGCTCTTGTTTGAGGACAGGAAGACCAAATGGCTGAGGGACAGGCGGTGCTGGACCTGCATCTCTGACAAGGAGGTGAGAAAAGGAGAAGTGTGTCGTCTTCAAGGCTGCCTTCGGCGAGGTCACGCCCCACCACCCTCTCTCACTTTCTCCCCGGGTCCTGAGTGTGGATGGAGAACGAACAGTGAGTCTCAAATCTTTTCTGGACATTGGGGTCACTGACATGTGCCCCTTCCTTGGGGGCTAGGGGTGTCACCAGGCTGTCTGACGCTACGAGTACTCTATAAGCAGCTACCGACCAGTCGCTCTTTTTTTTTTTTTTGGTATACTTCCCTCCTCAGGTTTGGAGAGAGAGGGTTCCTCCTACCTTTTCATCCATGATCCAAATTCCCACCCCTTTGGAAGGGAAACATAGCAGCGCTGGTCCAACCTGAGAGTAGTCGAATGGCTGCAGCCATGACAAGCAAAGCCATGCTGGGGGAAGCCGCCATTGTGTTTATAGTGGTGCTGAGCATCCATGCCTCAGTATGGGACCGCTATTCCTGGTGTGCTGTGGCCCTGGCTGTTCAGGCCTTCTATGTCCAGTACAAGTGGGACAGGCTACTCCAGCAGGGGGCTGCAGTTTTTCAATTCAGGACCACAGCTAACAGCGGACTCCTGCCTGCCTCCATGGTCATCCCTTTGCTGGGGGTGGTGATGAAGAAGCGCTGTGAAGGCGTAGGAAATGTGTACTTTGAGCGCTTTGGCATTGTGGTGGCAGCCACAGGCATGGCATTGGCACTTTTCCTGTCCGTATTGGCCCTGGGCATCACCAGACCAGTGCCCACCAACACCTGTGTCATTTCTGGTCTGGCTGGAAGTGTCATCATCTACATCATGAAACACTCATTGAGTGTGGCAGAGGTGATTGAGGTCCTCGAGGTTCTGCTGATCTTTGTTTACCTCAACATGATTCTGCTGTATCTGCTACCCCGATGCTTTACCCCAGGAGAGGCATTGCTCATCCTAGGGGGTATCAGCTTTGTCCTCAACCAGCTCATTAAGCGATCCCTAAATGTTATTCAAGGCCGAGGAGACCCAGTGGACTTCTTTCTCCTGGTGGTGGTAGTAGGGATGGTTATCATGGGTATCTTCTTCAGCATGTTCTTTGTCTTCATGGACTCTGGAACCTGGACATCTTCTCTTTTCTTCCATTTAATGACAGGTGTTCTGGGCCTTGGTGTCATCATGCCCTGGTTATACCACCTAATTCGGGAGAACCCCTTGCTCTGGCTTTTCCAATTCCTATTCCAGTCAGAAACTCATATCTACCTCCTCATCTACTGGTCCCTGCTGGCTGCTTCAGCCTGCCTAATTGTAATGTACCAAAATGCTAAGAGATTGTCTTCTGAGTCGAAGAAGCATCAGGCCTCCACAGTTACCCGGAAGTATTTCCACTTTATCATAGTGGCTACTTATATACCAGGACTCATATTTGACCGACTCCTACTATATGTTGCGGCTGTGGTCTGCCTGGCTGTCTTTATCTTCCTTGAGTATATTCGCTTCTTTCGAATTAAGCCCCTGGGCCAGACTCTAAGGAACCTGCTTTCCCTCTTCCTTGATGAAAGGGACAGTGGCCCCCTCATCCTGACTCACATTTACCTGCTGCTGGGCATGTCTCTCCCTGTCTGGCTGTTCCCACGACCTTGTGCCCCAAAGGGTAGCCTGGGAGGGGTTGGGGCTCTGGTCCCTTATGCAGGAGTGCTGGCTGTGGGGGTAGGTGACACCATTGCTGCCATTTTTGGCAGTACAGTGGGAGAGATCCATTGGCCAGGAACTCTAAAGACTTTTGAGGGGACAATGACTTCCATATTTGCTCAAATCATTTCTGTGGCTTTGATCTTAATCTTTGATAGTAGGGTGGACCTTAACTCCAGCTATGCTTGGATTTTGGGGTCTATCAGCATAGTCTCCCTCCTGGAAGCCTACACTACCCAAATAGACAATCTTATTTTACCTCTCTACCTCCAGATTCTGCTAATGGCTTAGTCTTCATGCAAAGATCATGAAGGGAGGAAGTGAGTTGAAGGGAAACATATGGCCTATAGTCAGCAATTAGCCATTTGGGTGTGATGGCTCGGCTGGTGAAAAGCTGATTCACTTTCGAAGTGAATTGAGATTTAAAATAAAATCAAAGCTGCTCTTGCATTTTAACTCTGTTGATTTGAAAATAAGGTAACATTTCAGATGAAGGAATTGAAAGGATATACCAGTGAGCGTTTCCAGTGGAAGTGCACTACTTTTTTTAACGTTTGTTTTTTATTTTTCTAAATCACATGGAAACACATTCTTTGCATCAATGGGGCCCATTCAGAGGGCTAGAGAAGTTTTTGTGAAAGAAATAAAAAACCCAGCCTTGAAAAATAGCTTCTCATCTTAAATAACGTATACCTAATAATTTACAGAATTGTGAAAACTGGATTTTGCTTACTGGACTTCATTTTGTAGAAGAAAATAGTAGAGGGAGAAGCTTTTTGTAACCTTTATGAGAATGTTTTAACTGGGTAAAGGGGGAGAGGAGTGCAAAAGAATGAATGAAGAAATATTTGAGTTAAATGGCATTAAATTTATTTCTCCTAAGTGGGCCATAGGGTGCAATATCAGAACCAGATTAGTATAGCTGGTTACTTGGAAATTAGGAGCGCCTAGGGGTGGAAGTAGGTAGCAGAGGAACTAAGAGAAGATATAGAATAGATATTGAGGGTCAATTGTGGAGAATGGGAAAAGCTGGAGAGTACTCTGTAGCAGAGGTCCAAATGGCAGGGCCACATGCAACCCACAATACTCCTGAGTGCAGCCTAACCAGGTTAAAATGTAATTGGAAAAAATTTAACAAAGTAAATAAAAATGCAATAAAACATAGATGATGTTAATACATGGTTTTCTAAGTCAACATGCAGCCTATAGGGATCCTTATGTACAGTTTAGTGGTCCCTGTTTCTATTTGATTTTTGACACCATTGTTCTAGAGCTATGCTTCCTGACCTAAATGATTATTGTGAACCAGTAAAATAAATAACATCTCTACAGATCCTACTGCAACCTCTTAGCAACTCAAAGGGTAGGGGGCCATGAGCTGGGGAGGAAAAAAAGTCAGGGAAAAAGAAATAGCTTTTTCAAGACTACAGAATTTAAGAAAACATGGTCCTTTTATAGTAAGTTTTGCTGACCAGAAAAGCTTTGCCACTAATTATTAGTTAATAAATACTGGTTAAAAATGAGATCCTAGAGGTACATGGGGCTCCTGCATTGCATCATGTTACTTCCTTCCCAGGGAAGCTCAGGAGAGAGCTTTTGAGTGAGTTGCCAAAATGAGGAACACGAAAGGAAAAAGGAGAGGGACAGGATACATGTTTTCTAGGCCCTTTCAAAAGCATAGTTTTGTGTCTTTGGCTATGTATATGCAAATATACAAGAAAGGTGATATTGTAGATATCAAGGGTATGGGCACAGTTCAGCAAGGAATGCCCCACAAGTGTTACCATGGCAAGGGTCTATAATGTATGCTGTAGGCATTGTTGTAAACAAACAGGTTACGGGCAAGATTCTAGCCAAGAGAATTAATGTGTGTATTGAGCATATTAAACATTCTAAGAGCAGAGATAGCTTCCTGACGCGGGTAAAGGAAGATGATCAGAAGAAGGAAGTCAAAGAAAAAGGCACTTGGGCTCAACTGAAATGCCAGCCTGCTCCACCCAGAGAAGCCCACTTTGTGAGAACCAATGGCAAGGATCCTGAGCTATTGGAACTGATCACCTATGAATCCATGGCATAAGTGGCTGTAAAATAAAAACAATAAAAAATTCTTGGGTTAAAAAAAATACGAGATCCTAACCATCACTTACGATTTTTTCCTCTTCACTTACTGCTTCTCCATCCACTGTAGAGCTTCTCCCCTTCATAGCTGTCTGCCAGAGATGTCAATAGGAGGGAACAGGGTAAGCCGAGAGTATATGTGAGAAAGTGACTTTGGGGCTTCCAGCTTTCCTCCTGTTCCAGCTCCAGCAGAATATAGCATCTTTGTATTTATCTTAACTCAAGCAGCATCCTACCCTTGACAAGGAGCATTGTGGTTCCTACCACAGTAAGAACCAAGTTTCTCAGGACAATAACCATATGATGGTGGAAGGTCCCCCCTTAAGAATATATACTGGGAAGAGAGCTACTTCAAAGCCTACCTTTCCCTGCCCTTGAAGAGGACCAGTGTCTTTCCTGGCTATGTTGGGAATCCTGGTCTGAATAAAGATCTTTCCTGCAAGCTCGGCAGAAAGATGGCTGAATTTTGCTTGGCTTAAAGGGAGCAGCTATTAGAGTAAGAAGCTAAGCTAAGGACCCAACTCTTAATGTTTATTCAGTTCTGTAGTGTCACTTTGATTAGTGGCTTACAGTGTGTGACCAGAAATCATCTAAGTGCTCAACACCCAATCATAAATTCCTAATCATAAATGTGGACATTGCCTTGTAGCTTAAAAATGTTCTCATTTTAAGGGGCAGCTAGATGGTGCAGTGGATAGATCACTGACCTTGGATTCAGGAGGACCTGAGTTCAAATCTGGCCTCAGACGCATAACATTTACTAGCTGTGTGATCCTGGGCAAGTCACTTAACCCCATTGCCTAGCCAAAAAACAAACCAAAAAAAGTAATGTTCTCACTTTATAGATGCAAATACTGAACCCCAGAGAGGGGATGACTTTGCTGACATCGAGCAGTGAATCAGTGACCAAGTGGGACTAGAATCCCAGTTTGCTGACTCAATCCAGAGTTCTTTCTACTTCATCAAACTTAGTGATACAATTCCCTTAAATCATTCATTCTAGCACAAGCTAGGTAGGGCTGGTGTGACAGATTTTTATTCTCTTATAATCAAAGCTGCCTGGCTTTATAAAAGTACACCAAAAAGTACCTGCTGTGTATTTGGTAGTTTTTTATTCAATAACCATCACTCTAGATGACCTTTACTTATGTCCTCTTCCCTTTCTCCACTTCTCCCTCTCCCCCCCAGAGTCTTTCCCCACGTCCACACACCACGCAGCTTTCTTCCTCTTTACCAGGTGAGTCTGAGAGTTATCCAGGGGCCGACCCCAAGAAGAAAGGCAAAGGTACTAGGTACTCAGTTGTCCAAGACGAGAACAAGGGTCACATTCCACAGAGGAAGTATCAGGCCTAGGTTAGAAAGTCCAAGTGATAGTATAACACACTTCACTCCTACCTCTGGGGAAGCATAGGGAACCCCTTGGTGTATTAAAAAGTTAGACCCATTGTACAAATGTCCAAACATCTGCTGACAACTACTCCTCGTGGCGGTGAGTCTACAGTGGCCCATTAGCTCACAGTTAGGCTTTCTGGGATAACCACATTTCTGCTTGTACTATTAACAAAGTTTTAGAATTTTTGACTCCCTTTCAATTTTTATTGTTCTGGTTTTAATTTAGTAAATTTGCAGTGCATAGCCCAGGAAAGTAGAAATTTCAACATAAAAAAAAGATCAAGCTTTTGTGTCAGTGCAGTCTAGTGATTCTCCTTACAAATGGAAGGCTTACTCATTTCCATGAACATCAAATTAAAATTACATTCAGAATATAAAAAAAAAAAGTTAGGCCCAGGGCTTCATCTGAAAGAGCAAGGGAATCCATCTTGGTGATTGGCATTAGGTATACAGTAGGGGGAAGGGCAGCTCTGGTGTTGGCTGAAGCCTGAAGAGAAAGAAGGGAAGAGAGAAGTGAGTAATCTGCTGAAAATTTCAGCTGTTTTGTAGCCTTGAGGCTCTCTGAAATGTTTGGGGAAAGCAAGAAGATAGCCCCTGGAAAAGAGCCAGTCTGTCTAACACTCCGGGGGCACCTTGACTTACCAGTTATCCTGGCTCCACTGAGCGTCCTTGGACTCCATGAGGTGGAAGGTGTATGCATGGCGAGAATGTGGGGAGCGGTTCAGCTCACTCTTATGAACGACCTCCCCATGTATCAAGATGAGACCCCCTGGCAGGAGGGATGAAAGGGTCACATTTCTCTGCCTGAACATGTCCCATTCCAGTGTCTGTGTCTCCCTATCTGGATGTAGCCCCAGTCCATCACCTGAGCACTTCTCAAAGGGAAAAACAATAAATGACAGGGACAGCTTAATTCTCAGCAGTTCTGGCAGAAAAGGCCAATGTTGCTATCAAAGAGGACAACCATGGTCTCCCTAAAACTATCCCACAGAGACAACTCTGGGGTGGTTGGACCCAGGTGCTTACATAATCACCCAAAACCCAAGTTCCTGCCTGGCATGCAATAACCTTTAGAACCTTTACCTTTCTGGATAGGTGTAGGGATGAAACGACTCTCCTCATAAACCGGTTCAGAGCCTATGAAGTTGGTGCAACCCCCAGAGTTTGTCTGCACCCGTACCATCCTCCGAGAAATACCACCTGCATTGTTCACAAAGAACAGTCACGTGAATTGCCTCAAAAGCCTCTATGGGGTGGATTTCCCTCTGGGCAGACCCAGAAAGAAGGGAAGATGTTCCACGGAGGCTCTCCTTACCAGTGTGGGAGCCAGGGATGAACCAGAGGCAGCCATTCTCCAGGGTGGCATCCTCCAAGGCGATCCAAACACCCAGTACTCGGCCCAGTGGCTTAGTGTGGAGAAAGGTGGCATCCTGGTGTGGAGTGACTACAACCCACCAACTTGTGATTAGGCCACCTATACCTTGGCCCCCTTCCTCACCCATTTTTGATCCCAAAGCTGAATTTTCCCTTTCCATTTAGCCAATATCCATTTCCTGTCCCCTTTCCTTTACCATCAGGTAAAGAAAGCTCCCCCCATCAGGAACAACTTTCCTCATTCCATGGTAATTTACGGCTGGTTCAGAAATAGTTCCATATTGCCCTACCCACAAAGAGCCAGGGAGCTAATTTCCTCACCCTTCAGAACCTTATCACCAAATATGTATGTACTGTTTGCACCATGCTAGCACAGGGACCTATGCACAGCTCACCTTCCCCGCCAAAGTGTGGTTGCTGAAAGAGAGAGGAGGTCTGATGAAACAGGAGAACAGAGAGGAATTGGAGGGTGCTGGGAGGAGAGATTGAGGAGTAAGGAAATCTTGAATTTTCCAAGGTCATTTCATTCTTGGTAAAAGTATTTTTCTCAATTTAAAATTTTAGAAAAAAAAAATCTCTCCCATGATGTGGGGAATGTCATCCTTCTTGTAAAAATCTTCTAAAATTGGCCTGAGTAGTGCTATTGCATACAATCCCTTATTCATGTATGCTGCTTCAAAAAAGCTTTGGTACCTATGTTATCCTTTGTTCCTCACAACTTTTTGCATTTTACAATTGGGCAAACAATCCCAGGGAGACTTCCCCCAGGCCCCAAAGTGAATTAGTGCCCAAGTAGGAAGCTTACCTTGAAGATGTACATGCTTTGAACTATCACAGGTACTTCAAGCCCCAGACTCTTGACCAACTCCTAAGGAATAGTCCAGTTCACTGACTCAGACCCAAGACAGCATTTCCGAAGAATACCGATAACCCCATATCTGGCAGACCTTCCTAGAATTGTCCCTGTCTCACTGCTTACCCACCCTTCCAGCCTGGGTTTAAAACTGCTCCCTTTCCCTTTGGCAGAGAGAGAAAGGAAGAGTAGGGGGATCTGGGGCAGCATCCCATTGTTTTCTTCTTAACAGCATGAGAATAACATAATACTTTTTCAAGTACAAAGATGCGGGGGCACAGGGAATCCTCTCCATTTTCCTGCCAGCTTTGATTTAGGAGGTGATAGACTCGGTAGTGGGAGGAGTTCCTCCTATAATCAGCCCCAGGCTATCTGGACTTTGGGATGAGGCTGAAGAAGGCATGAAAGTAAACCAGGGCCTGTGCTCTTGTCAGACTATGGGGAGGGGCTCCAAGACACCCAGGGGAGAATTCTAAGGGAGCTTATCCTCACTTACCTGTACCTGAAGTGAGTGGGTAACACTCTTAAAGACAGGGTCATGGGCATGCAGAGCTGTAGGAACAGGAGATGGGAGATTGACTTAATACTGACAGAATCTGAGCTGTTCTCCTAATCCATTGCCTCTCCCTCTCCCACCCTCACCCCCACCCCCCCACCCCCACCAAGGAAAGCTAGAGGCAGCAAATAGCCAGGTCAAGATGTGGAACCCCCAGACCACAGCACCCCAGAGGTGTGGGAGGGGAAGGATAAAACCAGGACCATCCAGGGGTTTGTGAAGGAAGGACAGCAGGACCCTCCAGACACCTCTCCCTCACCCATAGTGCTCACTCGCCCCCAGCACTACTGGGAGAGGGCTGCAGTTTCTTTGGAATTGTCACAAGGGCAGATGAAAATGGACACAGGCTGCTATTGATACCTACTATTCAAAAAGTAACTAGAAAACTATAGAAAGGGGGAGGCAGAGAGAAGGGAAAGACCAAGTTCCCTGGTGTGAAGGGCTAGGGAAGAACAGTGTGTACAAGAACCTACAGACCCATCAGGGCTTCCTGTCCTCCCCCTCTGGCTGTCCAAGAACCATCCTTACCATGGCCAATCTTATTGATAGAGTTCTCTGGCCGGAATAGAAAATTGCCTATGAAATAAAAAAGATGATACGAACTAGGGAAAAACTGAAAGTCCATTTCTCAGTAGGTAGAGAAGATAAAAAAGAACTCAGTTGTCTTGCTCCCCCTAGCCCTTCAAGCATCGCCCAGCCCCTGCCCCTATCTACTTCTTACCTTCCTTGTCAAACACTCCTTTCTCAAAGAAGAATCTGATCTTGTCTCCACTGGTCAAAAAATAGTCAGTATTGCCCTATGAGAGGTTTGGGGAAGTGAGGGAAACAAATCATCAGCGTGTTGGTAATGCTTCAGAAGTGAGGGTCTAAGAGATCATGAATTCCTTTTTTTTTTTCAAGAGCCTGGGATTTGTCCAAAGTCACATATTAAATTAGTGGCAGAGCCAGGATTGAAATGTAATTCTTCAGTTCTGTTGGTGGGGTTGGGGCTTGTGGGGGCTTGGTACTTCTTTTATGCTTCACTCCAAAGGGACAGCATAGAGCTAGACACTTGCCTAGCTAGGGACCTCAGCTAAACCCTGGTGTAGCTCCTTCCAGAAGATAATATGTTTTAGTCACTGATGCTCTGGGCTAGATTGTAAGGTAGGAAGGGACAAAATATAGTATCTTCTCCATAATTAGATAGACTGAGCCCAGGCATCATGATTCTGAGTGAGGACCCAAAGCTTACAGGAATTCTGAGAGTCAGAATCTTGAGAAAGGGCCACTGGGCAGAGGGAGAGGGATTCTGCTGTTCATTCTGATAAATAGAGTAGGAACAGCAGACACCACGTGACTTCACGCTAAAGTGTTGGGAGGGGCGAGGATGACTAACTCAGGAACTAGGAGCTTCTAACAGTGTTGGAAGATTTTTTTTTCTTCCCTAAAACTGAAAGTATTTTCAATCATCTTTGTCCCAGGGAAAAGGAACTCAGGTGGATGTGGAAGGGATGAGGGGAATAACTAAGTCCCCAAGGTGCTCATAAACTCATGACTCTGAAAATCTGTATCTATAGCTCCTAGACCAGCATTTCTTTATCATCACTTATCAGAGAATTTAGAGCTCAAAGGGACAATCGTTAATTTGCTAGACTAGGGATTTTTAACCTGGGATAAATTCCAAGGAAGTCTGTGAACATGGATGGGAATAAAAATTACATCTTTATTTTAATACAATCAGTTTCCTTTGCAATCTTGTGTATTTTAATTTATGCATTTAACAACATTATTCCAGGAAGGAAGTCAGAGGTTTCACCAGACTGTTTGGCTGGGGGAAGGGGGGAAGTCCAGCGCACAAAGACGGTTAGGAGCCCCTGATCTACAGCTTCTTGGCATTTTACAGATTATCCATAGGCAAGTGAAGAGACTTTTCGAAGGGTCATACAGATAGTAAGTAGGGAAGCCAGGATTTAAAATCTGGTGATCCTACTCTGATTCCAGGTCTTGTGCCTTTTCCACTCCAGGATTTTTCCTCTCTCATTCAACCTAATTAAAATAGAGGCTGCTAGGTGGCTGAGTGGATAGCATACTACACCTGGAGTCAGGAAAATGAGTTCAAATTCTGCCTCTGACATTTAAACCATTGTTGATGTCCTTTCCTTCCCCTTCTCCCCCCCACCCCCCTACCCTGGGCAAGTCACTTAACCTCTGTCTGTTTCCTCATCTATAGGATAGGGATTATCTGCCTCCCAAGGTTGTTATGAAGATCAAATGAGATGATAATTTTAAAGTTTTTTGCTAACCTTAGATGCTGGCTATTGTATTATTTACTCAACTCCTGCTTTGTGCAAGGCACTAAGGATAGGACAAAAAAACAAGCTAGTCTCTTCAGTCTCTCCCTGTCTACTGGCTGCCTCCCTATTGCCTACAAACATGTCCATGTCTCCTCTATTCTTTTTTTTTTTTTTTAGGCAATTGAGGTTAAATGACTTGCCTGGGGTCACACAGCTAGTGTCAAGTGTTTGGCCTGAGGCTGGATTTGAACTCAGGTCCTCCTGACTTCAAGGCTGGTGCTCTTTCCACTGTACTACCTACCTGCCCTTCCCTACTAAAAACCGGTTACTTGATCTTTTAATTCCCACTAGTATTATTCTGTATAAATCCTTCCTTTCATGGCTAAACGCCTTAAGAAGGCCATTTACAATAATAAGTGCCTCTACTTCCTTTCTTTCTTAACTCTCTTCAGTTTGGCTTCCAGCTTCACTGTTTAACTGAAACTGTTCTCTCCAGAGTTACGAATGACCTTTAAACTGTCAATTCTAATGGCTCTACTCTTAGTCCTCATCCTTCTTGACCTCTGCAATCTTTGACACTGTCCATCACCTTCTTCCCCTTGATACTCTTCTCTCTAGGTTTTCATGACCCAGCTCTCTCCTGGTTCTCCCTCGACCTGCCTAATTAATCCCTCTCAATTTCCTTTGCTGGATCTTAATCCAAGTCATGCCCACTAACCACAGATTCCCCCCCACCCCCACCCCAGGCTCTGTCTCAGATTGTCTTCACTCTCTTCCTCCAGGCCATTTTGCTAGCTAAAATCCCATCTTCTGCAAGAAGCCTTTCCCAGTCCCCCTTAATGCTAATGCGTTTCCTGTATTAATTATCTCCAATATAGCTTAAATATCTTATTTGTATATTGTTCTTTGTATTAGACTGAGAGTTCCTTGAGAGAACAGATAAGTTTGTTTGTTTATTTGTATTTTTGCCTAACACACTGCCTGGCACATAGTAAGTGCTTTAATGAATGCTTTTTGATTGAGTTAGCTAAGTGCTATTAGGTGTAAAGAGAAGTATAAAATAGGACTTAGGTCATACAAAAAACAATAGGAGAACTTTTTTTTTTTGGACTGGATTGCATCCTTGCAGGGAAATCCCAGTAAGGCAACCCCCTTCTGTGATGGAAAACAATTCCTACTCAACCATTTAGAAGCTTGGAGTTTACTGGGGTGCCAGTAGGTTATTAAGTCACTTGCCCAGGACCAAACAGCCTGTATATATTTGTCAGAGGCTGAACTGGAAACACATCTTTTTGATTCCAAGGCCGATTGACTCTCTAGCCATTCCAAAATAACTGTATCCAAAAATTCTATGGTTTTAATATAAAATGCTCTCATTTGGCCATGGGAGAAGCTGAGATCTGTGTATATTAAAGACCAGGAGAGGGCAGTGTGGTCCAACGGTGAGAGTCAGGAAACCAGGATTCTAGTGCCTTCCTACCTGGGATCGGAGCTGTTCCTCTTCTTGAGTAGAGAATTCAATGCGACAGTGAGATGGGATTTCCATTTCTGCTATGATCTTCTGGATTTGTTCCCTCATGATATCACACTCATTGGGGGAAAATATCCCTTCCAGGACCAGAAATCCATCCTCTTGGAACTATGGGAGAGGTGGAGCCTCTTTAAGACCAGACCCTCTCTTCACCTCCCCCTCCCCCCCAAACTGCCTGAGATTCATTACATTATTATATTTATATTTATAAAATTTCATTACATTCCTTATTCATTCATAAACTATATTAAATGACACAACAACTCACATTTCTATCACACGAAGGTTTACAAAGCCAGCTTTCCTCATGACAACCCTGTGGGGTATTCTCTATGTGTATTCTAGTCCCCCTTTACAGGTAAGGAAACTGAGGCACATAGAGATGAAATGACCAATTGTCAGACATACTCTGACCTCATCTTCTGACTCCAAACTCAAGCACCAAGTGTTCTTTCCCCTGTGCTGTATACCATATACTACTAGCATATCATGGCACAACGGATAAAGCACTGGTCCTGGAGTCAGGAAGACTTGATGTTCAAATTTGACCTTAAGACACTTAATAGTTGTGTGGTCCTGAGCAAATCACTTAACCACTGTCTGCCTCAGTTTCCTGAGCTGTAAAATGATGATAATAATAGCACCTACCTCACAAGGTGGTGGTGAGGATCAAATAAGATCATATTTATAAAGTGCTTAGCACATAGTAGGTGCTTAATAAATGCTTGTTTCCTTCTCTAACTAGATATAGGCTCCTTAAGGGAAGAGATTATATACCATTCATTTCTATATTCCTAGTACCCAGCAAAAATTTAGGTACATATCAATATTAGTAATAACTGACATTGTCATAGCATTTTAAGGCTTAAAAAGTGTGTTATCTCACTGGATCCTCAAAACAACTCTGTGAGGGAGGTAAAATAATTGTATTATTGGCCATCTTACAGATGAAGAAACTGAGGCTTAAAAGATGGTAAAAAACTTGTTCATGGTCACACAGCTAGTAAACTCAGGCAAGATTTGATTTCAGGTCTCAGCTTACTCCAATTCCAAGACTCTTCCTACTCTACCACTCTGCCTCCATAAGGGGTGCTTAATGAATGCTTTTTTTTTTAGCCAGGGTTACACAGCTAGTGTCAAGTGTTTGGTCTCAGGCTGGATTTGAACTCAGGTCCTCCTGACTTCAGGGCAGGCGCTCTATCCACTGGGCCACCTAGCTGCCCCATGAATGCTTATTGATGGTGGTGCTATGCTGCTGCTGATGATTGGGTTGTTGTTCAGTGGTTTGCCATTTCCTTCTCCAGCTCATTTCACCAAAGAGGAAACAGAGTAAATTAGGGTTAAGTGACTTGCCCAGGGTCACATTGCTAGTAAGTGCCTGAGGCTGGATTTGAACTGAGGAAGATGAGTCTTCTAGACTCCAGGCACTGCATCCTCTCCACTGCCATCTAGCGGGACGATTAGGTAGCATCCTAATACAGAGGAAAGTACACTGGATTTGGAGTCAAGAGAACTAAGTTCAAATTCCAGCTCTGACGTTGAACAGCTGTGTGACCTTGAGCAAATGACTTCAGCTCTATGGACATCTTCCTCATCTATAAAATGAGAGGGTTAGGCTATAGGATCTTTAAGGCCCCGTCTCCAAGTCTCTTGCATGGTCTTTCCCTTCCAGGCGCAGCAGGTCCTATCCCTGGCTCTTTCCGTCTCTCCCTAACTCCACCCACCCTTCTTAGACTAGGGCCCTGAGCTCCGAGTCCTCTCACTTCCTAATGGCAAGAGCTTTATGCCCCGCACAAGTCAAATGTAGTTCTTTGCTTTTTCTTTTCTTTCTCCTGGCCCTTCCAGTCGAAGCAGGGGGGAATCCTGAGCCCCAGTCCCGACTTTTCCCTCATCCGCACCCTCGCATCCCAATCTTCCAGAAACCCTGTCCAAGGTCCCTGGCAAACTCCGAGCTGGGTAGGGGGCAGGGGTCTTAGGGCACAAGCTGAGTTCCAGTGGCGGTGGGAGCGTGGGGAAGGGAAAGGTTGAGGATTAACTCTGAAGTTCCTAGGGAAATTTATACTAAACAAGGGTAGCACTCTCCGCTATCCCCAACCCATTACCCCTTAACAGTGCCCACTCTAGTGTTGCCCCCACCTTCCGTAGCTGCGTTGAGCTCAGGCCTGCCATGGGACTCAAAGGGACGGGCTGGTGAGGCCTCTTTTGTCCTTGTTTTGGTTTTTTTCTGGGAACAGAACAGGCAGCTGAATTCTGGCTCCTGGGTAGTGGCTTCCAGGCTGGGTTGGAGTTGGAGTGGCGGTGGGGAGGAGGTGGGCAGAACAGCGGTTTGCTTCACGCTCTCCTACCCAGAGTCAGTCCGTTCTGGTCCAGAGTCGCTGAAGCTTCTCTCAGGCTTTTGTAGTACTAAGTCTGGATGCCCACACGGGATGACCTCGCTCCACCCCCACCCCCTGTCCCCAATTTCACTTCCCTTTGCAGTGTGCAGAGAAGAGGGAGTGGCCCCTGGTCAACCAATCAGAGTCCTTGCCCCCACAGCTAATTCCAGTGGCCCTAGGAAAGCACAGGAATTAGCTGCAGTCCTTTGAGCCACTCAAGGTTTATACGCTTATACATCTGTCAAATCAAACATTTACTAAGGTCTTGCTTTGTGCTAAACCCAAACTAGCACCCAGGATAAAGGGGATTGGAGGCAGAAGACAAGGCTGTACAAAACCAGATCCCAGATCTCAGAAATTTAAACTCTACTGGGAAGCAAGAGGGAGTACGAAGAGAGAGCTTTGAGCTGAAGTTCTTAACTTGTAAAACACAAGTCTGATCAATGATACTCCCCTGCTCAAGAGACTCCTGGGGCTCTCTTGTGCCTTTAGGATCAAATGTAAACTCCTAAATTTAACATGTCAGTTCTTTGACAATCTGGCTATACAACGTAACTTTCCAGAGCTATTTCACATTCCCCCCCCCAAATATTTTATGTCATTGCCAAATGGGCCTACTGCATTTCCCTAGACTCTGCATTTGATTTCTGGACTGCCTCTGCATGGGTTGTCTTCCATGACTAGAAGGTCCTCAGTCTTCACACTCACCTATCTAGATTTTTTTGGAGCTCAGGTCATAGGAAAGCCTTTCTTGATCTCTCCCCCTCCCCAATGTAAATGCTATCTCTCTTCTCAAGTGATCAGATATATCAGATATACAAGAGCTTCTTAACTTTTTTTAGGTGATGGACCCAGGGATGGGCTTCAGCCAGCTCTTATCAGGTCAGGAGAGACAACTGTTAAATTTTCAGTCTGAGCATTTATACCCAAGAATTGTCAAACACTACAGATGAGGGCTTGATTTATTGTTTTGTTGATTGTCTAGACTTAAGAAAGTGAAAGAGAAAATGTGAATAGTGCATATATTTTCCCCCCAGAGAGCCAGTGGTTAAACATTAGCTAGCACACTACTATATGGACAATCTGGACACCTTTAGCAGTCTGGTGAAGCCTGTGGACTCTTTCAAAGAACATTTTTTAAAAAATCAACAAACAAGAATTTATTAAGCACCTACCATGTTCTAGTCAGGGATTGTGGCAGGTGGAGGGGGGAGAAATAAATATTTATACAGTGCCTACTATATTATCTTATTTGACCTCATGACAACCCTGTGAGGTAGGTACTATTTCATATTTGAAGAGACTGAGGCAAACAGAGATTAAGTGACTTGCCCAAGGTCAAACAGCTAGCAAGTGTATGAGGTCACATTTGAACTCAGGTCTTCCTGACTCGAAAGAGCAATTAAGTGGTGAAGTGGATATGCTGGGCCTCAGACACTTGCTAGCTGTGTGACCCTGGACAAGCTTAATCCTGTTTGCCTCAGTTTCCTCCTCTGTAAAATGAGCTGGAGAAGGATATGGCAAACCACTCCAGTATCTTTGTCAAGAAATAGGGTCACAAAGATTTGGAAACAACTAAACAACGACAGACAACTTCCTGACTCCAGGCCTAGTGTTCTGTCTACTAGGACACCAGCTACCTAGGTGGCACAGGTAAACACATAAAATACAAAGCATGAAAAAATCCATAGTGCAAGGAGCTTACATTCTAACAGGTATGGCAAGTATATCTATAATACTTGTCATATTATAGACATCATATTATGTAAGTATATACTATAGTATATATTGTATTATAGAAATATTCACCATATTATATATTATATAAATACATAATATACTATATATTGTATTATACCATACAAATATCCAATATAGTATATATTGTATTATATTACATAAATATATACTATACTTTGTATTATATAAATCTGCAATATACTAATATACACTATATCATTTTATTTATTATTATATTATGTGAAAATGCTTGTTCGATGGGATAAAGGAAGTTTAAGTATCAGAACAGCTGAATTCTTTACCCTCCTTTGTGTTAGGAAGGCTTCTCCAAAGTGGGACAGGACCCTTAGGGACTACTATCCTAAAAGGAAGATAGACTACAGAAGGTCTTTAGTTGAGCCCTCCAAAGCACGTTTACAAACCAGAGGTCTGTCCCATTCCTCCTGTCTTTCAAAGGCTTTAGAAACTCTAGGGGCAGCTAGTTGGTGCGGTGGATAGAGCACCAGCCCTGAAGTCAGGAGGACCTGTGTTCAAATCCTGCCTCAGACACATAACACTTAACTAAGCTGTGTGATCCTGGGGTAAGTCACTTAACTCCATTGCCAAACCAAAAAAAAAAAAAACCACAAACAACTCTAGACCAGGGGTGGGGAATCTTCAGATTCGAGGTCACCTGTGGCCCTCTAGGTCCTGAAGTTCTGACCTTTGACTGAATCCAAACTTCACAGAACAAATCCCCTTAATAAAGCTTGGATTCAGTCAAAGAGCTGAACTTGAGGACCTAGAGAGCCACAGGTGCCCTCAAGCCACAGGTTTCCTCACCCTTGATCTAGAGGAAGGAATCATTAAAACTTCTTCGGAGTGGAATGGTCCCACTCTTGACATCTCCCCTGATGGAGAGTAAGCTTCTTGAGGTTAAGACCTATCAAGTCTTTCCCTTTGTATCTTCCAGTCCTTACTTGTCAGGGGTACTTAATCAATGGTTGTTGAACTGAACTGAATTCTTATACCCTAGGCAGTTTCTGGTGGTTCCTTTCCCAGGCCCATGACAAATACCACCTCTGTGTTCTAGGCAGTTTCAGCCCTTCCACTCTGAATAGTCTCTAGGAAACCAAAATCAAGCCAATCAAAGGCCTTGTAGATGGGGGCAGTTATCTCTGGAGCCTAGCAAGGCCTTGTATCGAGATTAGAGCAGTTCCCAGCTGTTTCCTATCCTGGACTGGCTAGTTTGCATATTAATGACACAGCTTCCCAACTGCTAGCCAGAGCCAATAAATCAGCTGAAACCTATTAAAACGCACCACAGAGCCCTTCCTTGAAACGACAGCTTTGTTCTTGTTCAAGCTTGAAGGGACAGAGTGTCTCAGGCTGTGAGGATGAAGACGAGATCTGACTCTTGAGATTACTGGCCAGCAGTCAAGTCCTGCCCTCTGAAGCTGCTGCCATGGTCGAAGGAGGTTTCTAGGAGAAGGGAATGGGGAACATAAACTCCCCTGCATTTGAGGCTGGACCTTCAATTGAGAACAAGCTGCTGAGGAAGATGTGAGTGGAAGCAGCAAAAGGAGCTCAAAACTTCTCTCACTCTGAGAAAGGTCCTGGTCCTAGTGAAAGAAAAGAAATCCCAGAATCACAGTACATAAAAGCTTAGAAAACAGAGGGTAATACATGTACAAAATAGTTGAAAAAAAAAACACATGGAATCTGGAGAAAATTTTGGGCATATCACAACACTGAAAGTCAGAGTGTTCATAACCAACAGGTGGTACCCAGATTTCAGGGATACCTCGTGTAGTATAAGTGTATGTATACATATGTGGGGCAGGCAGGTGAGACAGTGGATAGAGTGCTAGACCAACAGTCAGATAGATATGTGTTCAAATCCTGCCTCAGACACTTAGTAACTGTGACGATGAGCAAGTCACTTAACCTCTGTCTGCCTCCGTTTCCTCATATGTAAAACAGGGATGATACTATAGGACCTACCTTACAGGGCTATGGTGAGGATCAAATCAGATAATATTCGTAAAGTGCTTTGCAAACCTTAAAGCACTACATAAATGCTAACTATTATTACAAGATCAATATCACTAAGCTTTGTTCATGTTATTTTTGCTCTCCTGTTGACCAGATTAATATTTAGGGTGGCAATGTAGTCTAGTGGAAAGAACATTGTCCTTGCACTTGGGAAAGGCCTGGGATTGACTCTTGCCTGTGACACCTCCTATCTGTGGGATCCTGACCCTCTCACAAATCCGGATCAATAAAATAAGAATAATAATACCTGTGGTTCCTGTGTCACAGAATCATCATGTGCAATCAAATCAGATAATCTATGTAAAGTGCTTCATACCATTTAAATTGTATAAAAAATTTAATACCTTTAAACATATCCATGAAATATTATTTTAAAAATTCCATCTCCCACTTCATCTGTGCAAGGCTGCTCTTTTCCATGCCTAGAAATGATTTCCCTTCTAAAATTTCTATTCTCCTGCAAAGCTCAGCTCAATTACTACTTCCCAAGTGATACCTTTTCCAAATTGTCCTGGGGCTGGTGCCAAGACCACTTCTGATCAGTACCAAATAGCTTGTGTTTACTTTGCATGTGTTTTGTATAGACTATAAGCCTCTTGAGGGCAGGAATGGATTAATTTTTGTCCCTGTATCCCTAGGGCTGTACCAGGGCTATAATGGGCACTTAACAAATGTCTCTTGATTGTTAAAAATAACATTAAGAATCATAGGTCTAGAGCTGGAAAGGACATTGAGGATAAGTGGTTTAATCTGATTCCTCCATTTTACAGTTGGGGAAGCAGAGGTCTAAAGAAGTTAAGGGACTTGTTCAAGGTCACGCAGTGATAGATCTACTCTGCTAGGTCCAAGTCAAGCTAATCTAACTCTCCTATAATAGGATGACATACAGCTCAAGAGCTGGAAGTGACTTCAAAGGCTATCTAGTGCACATAGGTAGTAACTAGCAGTCAGAATTTGAACTCGGGTCCTCTGATTGCAGACAGTGCTCTTTCTATTGAACCAAGCTGCATTTTAATGATTACAAAGTATTTTTCTTTACAATAGGCCTTGAGTGAGAAATGAATCTGTGATTTCATCAGGCTGGGGAAACGTCTTCCAACAATACATATTAGCATTTCGTCTTCAACTTAGCAGATCAGTCCTAGAGAGTTGCCTGAAGTCGGGGAGGCTTGTAAGTGTCAGGGGTAGCCTTTGAATCCAGTCCTTGCTGACTATAAGGCCAGTACTCCGTCCTGATTTTACAGAGGAGAACTTTAAAGCTCAGATTAAGTGATTTGCCTGTGATTATTGTTACTTTGGAAAGTCTGTATGACAAAATGTTTCAGAGGAAACTGGGAACATTTGCACAAACTGTTGCAGAATGAAGTGAGCAGAACCAGAACAATTTATGCAATAATAACATTGTATAGAAAAACAGCCTTGAAAGACTTTAGCCCTCTGATCAATGCAATAACCAATCACGATTCAAGAGGACCACTGAAGAAACCATGTGCTTACCCACCTCCTGGCAGGGATGGGTTCAAGATGCAGAATGTTTTTAGACATAGCCAATGAGGGAATTTGCTTTGCTTGACTGTGCCTGTGGAAATGAGAGGGAGAGAAATAAATGCTTGTTAATTTGAAAAATATCAAAATTAAATTTGAAAAAAGTAAAGTGTCTGCTTACACCCTTTCTGAAACAGACCTGTTCCAATTAGGTACTGAGATGTTAAGCAGTTCCCATAGCAAAGGGGCTGCGTGCAGACTGCACAGGCCTGGACGTATCCTTATCACCATTGCTCATTCAGCCCCCAGGCAGCTGAAAGAGGGAGTGGATCATTTCCATTTTGGTTTTGCATCCAAAAGCAAACAAGACCAAGCCATGGAAGGATTGCAACACAAAAGAGAGTGGCATACCAGGGCAGCGGAAGTGAGAGGGAACTCCGAATACCAGAGAGCTATTAGAGTTTATGGGAGTCTTCAATTCACTGGGTCGGGTTTGGGGTAGAAGTGGGGAAGGGTGCTATTTCAATCAGCAGGATTTTACAGGCCAATGAACTTTCAAAATTTCCTAAATGCATCGGTCCAAGAATAGCTTGAGGTCAACAGCACACTCTCCCAGTTAGCAGTAAGCAGGGCCAGAGAGGAGAGGGAAGAGAGGTCTCTGAAAGCTTAGACATTCCCAAAGATTAAGTGAAAACAATTTCTGTGGGGTCAGAGCATCACAGCTTAGGGGCAGGAAACAACAGAAGTTTCCAGTCTGTCCTATAGAAGGTGTCCAAAGAACTCCCTCCCCTCTTCCTTAATTTGGAACCTCAGGCAGAATAAACACTCAGTTCAAGACTCAAGTTCCTGTTGACCTAAGTAAGCAAGCATCCTTTTCTTTAAGGCCCCTCCAAATATGCCATCCTGTGCTCTACTGGGGATTCATAGAATCAGAATGTTAGAGCTGGGTGTGATCTTAAGGGTCATCTAGTTAAACTTTAATTTTATAGAATAGGAAACTGGAGTCCAGAGAGGATAAGGAACTTACTTGCCCAGGCAACCCAGAAAATGGTGGGGTCAGGATGATAACCCCATACTATTTTTCTTGCATTCCAAACATAGATGACAAATCTTATCACATCAGTGCCCCAGAGTAACTAGGGAAGCCATTGGGTACTCTTAGTGTATAGTGAACTCCACAGACTGGTCTCAGTTGCATCTATATCTCCAGGACTGGGAAAAGCACTCTTCCTGGAGTCAGTGGTTATGGATTTAAATCTCCCTTTGGGTAAGCTCTTTCATTTTCCTAAGCCTCAGTTTCCTCATCTGTAAAATGGGAGAGAGGAAGTTTTTGACTCCATGGCTTTTGAGTTATGACTCTGACTTATACTCAGGATAAGATTTACTCATAAGTGGGAACTGGAGAAAGTTTTCAGTCTTATAGAATCATCCCAATCCCACTAAGATAGTTTCTTATCCTTTTGGCTAGCCCTAATTATATTATGAAGCATTAATCATTAAATTGAATCTTAAACCTCTCCCTGTCTGCTGGCTCATTCCTTACTGCCTACAGACAAACCCGAGTCTCCCCATCTTTGGTGTTTTTTTTTTTGAGGTAATTGGGGTTAAGTGACTTGCCCAGAGTCACACAACTAGTGTTATGTGTATGAGGCCGGATTTGAACTCAGGTCTTCCTGACTCTGATGGGGTGCTTGGGTGCTTATGTTTGGGTGCTTGTACTTGGACCCCAATTTCTCCCTAGCCTCAGAAACACTATCCCTGACAGTTTCTCCCCAGCCCAAGGACACTGTGCTTAGCAATTACTCACGAATGGGCCCCAGCAATACCCTTATCTCTTTCCCTGATGCAGTTACAAACAGGACCTGAAGGAATTATTAGTTTGAACTGGCTTTGCACTGGGTCATAAAGACATACTACGGCCCTACCTCCTTATCTACATCCTGGGCTCCTCATTAACTGTATTTTAGACTTAAGACATATGTATACTCCCTACATCTATCTTGTCAAACAAGACATTGATTGGTGGCAGACTGAACAACTCTGTTACCCTGAACTCTAGTTTACTTAGTGACATAGAAGACCTAAAACCACACCTCCATGTGGCCCCCCTTATGGGCTTTTCCCAGTGAACTCTGGGTAAAATGCCTGCACAGTAGGTATAAGAAGTGCACGTTCTTTTAAGAACTGACCACTCCTTAACCACTCCCTAATCCCACCCTGAATCACCTAGTTAGCATATTTGGCACATGTTTTATTGTATTTTATCCTGTATAAACTTTAACCGTACCTCTTGAAGGTTGAAACAGTAAACTTTGCCACCTTGACTTAAAGAATGCTTGAGTCTGTGAATTCATTCCAGACCACCCTGTCCTGTACTTCAGTCTTTGAGGGGTCACAACGTCTCAACCTCTCATACTGAAACAACTCCAGGGCTGGTGCTCTATCCACTGCACCACCTAGCTGCCCTCCCCTATCTTTTAAAAACTCACTTGACCCTACCATCTGCTCACTTTATTCACCCAGGGGTGGGGAACCTCAGCCTTGAGGCCACATGTGACCTTCTAGGTTCTTGGGTGTCCATGTTTTACAGAATAAAACCTTTTATTAAGGGGATTTGTTCTGTTAAGTTGGATTCAGTCAAAGGACTGAACTTGAGGCCTGGAGGGCCACATTCAGCCCTGAGGTTTTAGGTTCCCCGCCCCTGCAATACTTTTCCTCTTTTTCATAGCCAAAATTCTATCCAAAAAACTTCCTATATTCATTACCTCCACTTCCTCTCCTTTCTTCTCCTTGAGGCTGGAGGCTTCTTATAATCTGGCTCCTAACTTCATCACTGTGATCTCCTCTCCAGAGCTAAAAATGATCTCTCAACTGTTGAATCCAGTGATGTTTTCTCATTCCTTATCCTTCTGGATCTCTACAGCACTGAACACCGTTGATCATCACTCTCTCCCAATTCCCAGGCCTTTTTTCTCTTAGTTCTCTGTCCATCAGCAGCCTCACTGATCCTCAGGTTTGCTTGCTGGATCAGCATCAATATACTGTGTCCTAGTTAGGGATGTATCCCTACATTACATGGCCTGGGCCCTCTTCTTTATACTAATCATCTCCCTGCAGATGATTCATATATATACATATGAGATGCAGTCTTGCATCACCAGTTGCCTTTGGGATGTCTCAAACTCAACATGTCCAAAATGTAAGTGTCTTTCCCCTTTCCAATTGAGAGCATCATCATCTTCATGACCACCCAGACTCAAAACCTTGACCCCTCGACTCATTTAATATCATCATTCTTACCTCCATAACCTCTCTCCTAAATGTCCCCTTCTCTTCACTAACATAGCCACTATCCCAAACAGACTCTCATCACCTCTTGCCTGGACTAATGTTGTCTTGTTCTTGTTCAGTCATGTCCAACTCTTCCTGACCCCATTTGGGGTTTTTGTTGACAAAGATACTGGAGTGGTTTGCCATTTCCTTCTCTAGCTCATTTTCCAGGTGGGGAAATTGAAGCAAAACAGGGTTAAGTGACTTGCCCAGGGTCATGAAGCTAGTAAGTGTCTGAATCTGGATTTGAACTCATATTTTCTAATTGATTTCCTTACCTCAGCTCTCTCCCCACTCCATCACTCTATACTCAACTTCCAAAGTGATCTTCCTAAAGTGCAGTTTTGATCTTGTTAGCCTCACATTCAATAAACTAGAGTGGCTCCCTATTACCTCGAGAATCAATATAAAATCTTATTTGGCATTTAAAGCCCTCACAACCTGGTCCCTTTCTACCATTCCAGTCTTCTTACACTATTCCCCTCCATTCTCTATGAGCTACCTACACTGGCCTGCTGGCTGCTCTCTACCCATCACACTCCACCTCCTGCCTCCTTTGCATTGGCTCTCCCTCATGCCTGAGATGCTCTCTTTCTTCATCCTTGCCTCCTGGCTTTCCTGACTGCCTTCAAGACGAAGCTCATATCTCACCTTCTGTAGGAGCCCTTTATGATATATGTGTGTGTGTGTGTGTGTGTGTGTGTGTGTATAAAAATAAATGCATATATACACACATTCAGAGTGCCCAAAAAGTCTTAGTTCAGTTTTAAGCTTTAATAGCTCAATAACCCTGAACTTGAGTTGTCTTCCCTCATTGGAATGGGAGTTCCTCTAGGGTGGCAATTTTATTTTTTGCCTTTCTTTGCATTCCCTACATCAACACAGTGCCTAGCACACAGCAAGCTCTTAACAAATGCTTATTGATGGATTTGATTCTTCAACATTAGTTATGGGTTCAATTCTCATATCTACTCAGATGATTCACATCTCTTTCTCTCTTCATCCATCCATTTATGGGTTCAATTATCATGTCTACTCAGATGACACACAGCCATCCATCTATTTATTTCTATCCATTCATCCAACCATCAATCCATCCATTTATGGGTTCAATTATCCTATCTTCTCAGATGATTCACACATCCATCCATCCATCTATTTATGGGTTCAATTATCATGTCTTCTCAGATGACTCACACATCCATCTATCTATCTATTTATCTATCTCCAGCTCCAGTCCCTCTTCTGAGCACCAATCTCACATCACCAATTTCACATGGTGGAAATTTCAAATTGAATGGGGGGGGGAAGGGAAACAGAATAAGCATTTATATAGCACCTACTATACACCAGGCAATGGGCTAAAGCTTAGCCTTAGCCTTTTATTAAAGGGATTTGTTCTGTGAAGTTTGGATTCAGTCAAAGGGCCACACTTGAGGACCTAGAGGGCCAGAGTAGCCTCAAGACTGCAGGTTCCCCACCTCTGGCTAAGCACTTTGCAAATATTATCCCTTTCAACCTCATCATAACCGTAAAGTAGGTGCCATTATGACCCCCATTTTGCATATGAAGGAACTGAGATTGACAGAGGCTAAGTGAATTGCCCAGGGTCACACAGCTAGTGCCTGAGGTGGGAATGGAACCTGCATCTTTCTGACTCTGGAACCAGTACTCTATCTCTTGTACCACCTAGCTAGCTGCCTCTGCAGTGTCTTGTGGGAATCTCAAAAAATCAAGACATCCAAAACA